AAAAAGCTCGAATAGTCTGTCATTATAGCATACACTGAGTTGAGATATCCATCAGTAGCTTCACCAGCCCTCACAAACACTCCCAGCAGAAATTAACTGCAGATAACATAGCTAACACTTCTGAGCTGATTTATTTCTACTCATTAACCTCACCTCATGACGCGGGGTGCATATCGACAAGGAAGCAGTCCAGACGTGTCAAATAAGATATATCAACAATGTATAACTTTTGATCATTGGATATCAGATTGAAAAATCCTAGTTATTTCTTTTTCTGTACGGGCGTTGCGTCTCCTCCTCGATAATTAGGTTTTGAATCTCGTGCGTTATGCATTTGGTATCCATCTTGTTCTCCTAATAATACTGTGACGTCATTGGAGACATATCAGCTTTTTCTAAGCCACCGTGAGCAGAGAAGCAGATCAATTAGTTCATTTTCCCTCATATAATGGCAACTGATCGATCGCCCCAGCTCAATCTTTCAAGCCACTGATCTGATACTCTCATATGATTCACTATTCCAGATGACTTAGCAAATTATGATATAATCTCTTGCATCACTCAATTCATTTAATAGAATGATCAACAGAAGTTGCAGAAAGCCAGCCATTTCTGCCAGGCCTAGAGTATAAATCAACCTTGAACAAAAACTTGATTAGACTGAATAATAGGTAAATGAACTGATCAAAACAACAACAAAAACTTTCAGTTCTTGCAAGAGCTTGCTCGGAGAGGGCCCTGCCTGAAAAATAATGAAGGTAGAGCACAGAAATGTAACAGGCCATTTCCCTTTTTTCACATGCTTTGACATAGCTTTAGGGAATGTGAAGTATAAATTATCCAAGCAAGCACTTCATGGATGGGAATTAAAATGCTGCAATAAAAACTTTGTAAAAAAGGGAAAACTTCAAGGTACAAATCTCTGTTACGATGTTCAAGAAAAGGAGCATCTTGTTTTTCTTTTTTCTTTTGCTGATGGATTAATTGCTTTTGCCTTCAAGTTCTTTCACTCAATTTCCAAACTCCTCCATTTCCCATGCAATAGGAAAACCACATAAAAGCTTGAACTCTGGCTTGGTCGTGTTGGGAATTCCGTCCGGTGATGTACTGATATTTGCTCATAGGAGAGCCAAGCACACTGACACAATATTTAACGTGGTTCGGCAAAATCGCCTACATCCACGGGAGAAGTCAATATATTTAGAGATAGAGAAAGAATACAAAACAAATACATGGAGGAGGAGGATTACACCCTCTCATACTCAACTCTCAACTCTCTTTGCTGCACTTGCAGCTGCTGGCATTGCAGCTCTCTCTTCCTCTCTACTCTCTTCACATTTTCATAATTCTCTTCACTCATTTTGCTCTCTTGCATATGCCTCTATTTATAGGCATTCATGGAGGCTTTTCTTCAACAAAGGTGGTTGCCAACTCCAACTCTTCTTCAACAATGGTGGCTGCCAACCTTTGACATCTTGGATGAGTGCACATGGTTGGTGCAATAGCAAATGGTTGTTGCACATTAATGGCAACCAACCTAACAATCACCCCCTTTGCCATTCATGTGGGGCAACTGTCCTCTTGCTTCTTCAACACAAGCTTGCATCTTGCAGCTCTTCCAAGCTTTCCATTCTGAGAGCATCTTTGACCAAGTTTATAGGTACTCGCCAAACCTTTCAATCATCAGAGTAACCAAAGCACACCTTTACACAAAAGGATCACTGTAACCAGATGGTTTGCCACATCACATCTGAATAGTGTTAACGCTTGTCTCTGGAACAACATTCCCCTTCGAGCGTATCAACCATGCTCGGTCCGGAATGATTCATCAAGCCTCACATCAAGGCTTATAACACCCCCTCAAACGGATATTTCAAGTGCGACAGTCATTATCTGAGTATCTTAATATGATCACAAGCTCACCACTCTTCCAAGAGTCTACTCATCCAGGAGTTGCGCCTGCCCTATGTTCCACCCTAGGAACCACACCTTACTTCTCCATGAGTCTCCTACTCTTAGTCTCAAGAGTCCAGGTAGCTTTTCACCTTTAACCATGGGGGCAGCCCATTAAAGGTTGATCCATATATGTCTTGATACTCTGAGTATTACAATGCCTTCACCGAGCTCACCACCTTGACAAGAGTCAACTTGTTCCTAGAACTTGTGCATGCCCTCTGCTCCTTCATAGCAGCCGCGTCTTAATGCTCCACAAGTCATCCACTTATTATCCAAGGCAAATGTCTTCTAGCTCATTGATCTTTAGCATGGGGGCAATATCCATGAAAGTCAATCTTGCATTTGTCTCCATACTCATCCTAGCCACTTCATTGGCTATACACTTGTCCACTTATATCCAGCCATCATATTGGCTCTAGGGCGTTCTGAAACTGGGCTCCTATCATGGCCCTTACACCTTCTTTTGAGGTGTCTCCTCCTGTCATTATGAGACGATTTGAACTTGGACTCATATCACGGTCCTCACACCTTCTCCTAAGGTGTCTTCGCTTGTTGTTATGAGACGGTCTAAACTTGGACTTATATAACGGTCCTCACACCTTCTCCTGAGGTGTCTCTGCCTGTCTTCATGAGACGGTATGAAATTGGACTCATATCATGGTCCTCACACCTTCTTTTGAGGTGTCTTCGCCTGTCGTCATGCAACGGTTTATACTTGGGTTCCTTTCATGGCCCACACACCTTCTGTCTGAGGTGTCTTTGTTCGTCATAAAGCAGTCACATCCTCCTTCATCGGGGATGTCTCCAGTGACTAAGATTCTCTATCACCATGTGGACTTGGGAGAGTTCATTGCCACTGATCACATAGAAAGAGAAAGTTGCGGTATACTCCTCGCAATCCTCCACCTCGATTTCTATGTTTGGAGCTTCTACGTCTTTCATCATTATACTTGACAACTCTACCTACACCAACTCTCTTTGGTGTCTTCGCCTTTCATCATAGGCGGTCGCCTTTTATCACAGACGTTTGCACCCCCTCAATTAGGTGCATTTACAACAGCTCATCTTTCCATCCTTGCATGCATTGGAAAGGTCCTCGCTTATTGTCTTTATCAAGAGCACAAGAGACTTCCTGTTGTACAACCTTCACACAGTCTCTGCTCTAAGCTTCATCTAGGAACACTTATTCTTCTTGCACTTGCTGTCTCATTACAGTACCTCGTTGGATCCTCCAGGTACTCCTACACAATCTTCGTGTGCTCTCGTGCAATTTTGGTTCTCCAGATTTCTCCCTATTCCTTGCTTATGTTTGACAGCAGCTCATCCTGTCACAACATCTATCCAAGTCAAAATAGGGTGCCAATCTTTATCCCTTTGCTGTATTTCTCTTCCATTATCAGGGTCTTCATCAATTCTCCCCTCGAGAAATTACAGTCACCGAATCTAACTTCCTTGGAGAAATCACCACTCCATCAGATCCTTGATCATACGGAACCCAACTGTTCCTTTGTGCCGTCATCCTGCTAGTCTTCAACAGTTTCATAACAAACTGTCACATATACGAAAATAATACTGTATGGATAATCCTTCCACTAAGCAAGTTCCCAGGAAAGATTGGAGGGGTCACACCGGTCCCGCTTAAAACCCAATCTCCTAGCCAGAACTTCTTAGGCCATATCTATCCATCGTACTGTCTTTTCGTATATACAACCATTTGCTAGCTTTATCGCGGCTTTCCTTTACAAGTGATCTGGGGTATCCTGGTTTTATACCTGATTTCTCAACATCTGGCGAGACTACCAGTGCTCAGATTCGTCAAGATTGGTCTTCATCAAATTTCACTCTCCACCTCAAATTGTCCACATGATCGGGTGTTTAGAGTGTCCAAATTTTTCCTTCCCTCAAGGCAATTAAAACTCCCCACATAACACTTCAACACATGTAATTGGACAAACATGTGTGATTTCTTCTTCTTCAGCTCCATCGACCACCATGATGACCATCAGATGCCTCTTGATCGGGCAATCTCTCTTTAATAATTCATCACTACCATTTCTGATCTCAATCTCAACGATCAGACTGTACCATTGCATCCGGAATGATGAAATTAGCTGGAAACAAGTCTGAAATCGTCCAAATCGCACTTCAGACGGCTAAGATTTGATCAAAACAATTTTGGTCTGATAAATAGCCCAGATTCAATCTCAGAATCGGTTGCACGTAGACTCCACCACACAGAATCCTGTCCCTCGGCTCGCGGCTGGTGACGTGGCAGTGGGTCCCACAATGATGATGTGGCTGATGACTGGTTCTGACGTGGCGGTTTGACTGGTCAGAGTGCTGATATGTCAGGTGACGTGCCTGATGACTGTGCAGAACTGCTGACGTGGTTGATGACGTGGACAGTCACCCCGCCGGCGCGTGCGGCAATTTCCGACGTTCGATTTCGACGCGGTGTTCACCAGTGGCTTCGTCTCTTCCTCCTCTACACAGTGGTATGGTCAAAACACAATTTTGACAACTTTCATTTTTGAGCAAAATCAAACACCACTTTAAACCAAAAGCTCTGATACCAATTGTTAGGAATTCCGACCGGTGATGTACTGATATTTGCTCATAGAAGGCCAAGCACACTGACACAATATTTAACGTGGTTCGGCAAAACCGCCTACATCCACGGGAGAAGCCATTGCATTATGTAGGGAGAGTACAAGATTTACAACAATAGAGGAGGAGGAATCATCCCCTCTTTCACAACTCTCAACCTCACTCTATTTCTCTCTTTTTAGTGCTGCAATGGCAGCTCACTCTCTCCTACATTTCTCACATCTTTGGCTCTTTTCTTTCTCTCTCATTTTGCTCTCTCATATATGCCTCTATTTATAGACATTCATGAAAGCTCTTCTTGGTTTGTTGTCAACATTGGTGGCTACCAACTCTAGCTCATTCAACAATGGTGGCTACCAATAGTCAATGGTCAATGATTGGTGCCTTACATGAAATGGCAACCAACCTAACAGAAAATCCCTCTCCACCTCTAGCACCCCCAGCACCTCGCAATTCCAGAGTTTTCACCTTGTATAACTCGTGTTTCGATGAGCTAGGCTTCTCATCAGCGTCTGGCGCGCATGCATGTCCCAGAAAGAATGCAACTCTCTCGTTCCTGATAGACGCTATAGTCTATTCGGCACCAAGACTACGGCGAACCATTTCCCACTGAGTCAGATCTTGGCTTTAAGACTGGTTCCAAGACAAAGGGGTTGCCAACATTTATAATTAATTGGCTGTTTCCTTGAATCTTTGATTAATGGATATTAGAGCAGAAGTCGAGCTTAAGTAAAGCATATAGACCGGAGGCTGGAGCATTGTTTATGACATGAAATTGAGAGGGTTGACCTCGGAAAAAATCTGCTCGTGCTTGCATTTCGTGGATACAAAGGCTGAGCCATTTACCTAGTTGGCGATGTTGCATTTCGTGGAAGTTTCTTAAATTCCTACATTAATTTTGTAAGCTCCGTCACAACCATATTTTGGAAATTTCTAGATTTATTTTAACTTTAAATTATTATTTTTTATGTTTTTAAATCATTTTAATATGTTAATATTAAAAATAACTTTAAAAAAATAATAAAAAATTACTTTAATATATTTTCAAGTAAAAAATAATTTGATATACAACATGCACCACACCTCTAAATAGGCTTTTAACCTGAATTTATTTACTATTTTCTAATAACTAGAAAAAGAATATTGTAAAAAATTAAAATAGAAAAAAATGATATAATTTGATATGTACATTGAACAAAAAAGAATGTTATTATTTGATAATTTGATTATATATTTAACATCAAAATTTATGTATAAAAAAATATGTTAGGATCATATTTAGCTAACAACAATTTAAGGATCTTGCAGGTTTCCAAATTAATTTCTATGACATATCTTAATTAATTGTCTAATTATTTTATGTTTTGTAATCTTATCGGTGTGTATGACATCATCCTTCGTGCTTTGTTTGAGTCAACTAAGGGCACTTGATCAACTTAACGAAATTCTATTTCAACCTGAGTTGCATTATAGTGTAAGTTTTGATTTGACCAGACGTTAAAAGCAGAAGGGCCAACTGTAATTTTTAGCCATCCGAAATTGTATTAGATCTGCTCCCGACTGTTCGATATGTTGCCTGACTGGCTCAGCCTAGTTCATTCTGCTCCAACTTTAAGACTTGATCTGATCCAATCACGTGCTGTTTGCTCTTAAGCTTTACAAGATGAACTTGCCAGTTTCAGTTGAGGTTCTTGTTAATTCTGTTTTCCATGGGGGTTTCTTTGCTACTACCTTTGAAGCCTTAACGTTCTTGCACATTAGAGAGATAGTTGCTGTAGATATCGATCGAATGCAGCATCCTTGCAGATGTAACTGAAGAATTGAGCAACTTCCTCCTCAGTTCCCAGGCAATTCTCAACAACACTTTGATCACTTAAAAACTCGGCATCCATAGGTGTCTTGAAGATTACATATGAACTCACAAGACGTAAACGCATTTCAAATCTAAGGTTTGCTAGCACTCTCAAATCTTGTATTAGCCCACCAACTTTCGTTGATATGCAGAGGAATTCCTGAACGAGTGTATCCATTCAGTAAAGGAGTTTGCAGAAACTTATACAGATTTTTGTTGTGCTTGAAGCAGCTTATACAGTTCGGAAAGATTACCCACAGCTTATAAATAAAAATCGCAGTAGTGTTGAACCACTCAAATTTGCCAAAATATGTTTCACTTCATATATATATATATAGCTTTTGTTAGAAGAACAAACCCACGGAAAGAAACTAGCTGTAGAATGTATAACGTACATCGTATTTTTTTTGTGGCAAAGACTATAGTGAATATGTACCCAAAATTACCTGAAAAATCTTTTCTTCTGTGACCTGTGTATCATAGAGCGAATTGGAAACCAAACACATAATTACTACAGCTAGCCATGCATGACTATTAGATAAAAGCGCAATCAGAGAGGGTTTTAACCATCTTGACTTGCCTCTCAACAATTACACACCACAATCTACAACCCAAAAAAATGGAACAGCCTGTATTGTAAAATATTGTTGGGCTTTACATCACTAGCAATTTTCAAGCACCTTTATTAAGGGCCATCGGAAAAGCCATGACAAAATCAAAAGCTGCCCTTACCACAGGAGTCAAACATGAGCAAGTGAAGATCCCTTCCCGCCCTGTTCACCTCCTATGCCTCCCTTTAAATCTAGAGTCCTGACCTTGAAAAACTCAAGCTTTGAGCAGGAATCTTCATCGCTAACTTATACCATATCGCCGACTACAGCATCAATTTTTTCAGCCATGACATATGCCATAACATGTTTGGTCTGCCGTGCCTTTAATACTAAAACGTTTGTCGGCTAGTGACTAAACCTGCTACAGGTCAAATGATTTCTAAATGTACATACATATTCTGCCTTTGACCTTTGAGTTCTCTTTCTTAGAAGCAACTTTGCCTCACCATGATGATCAGTGTTTGTTTTTTAAATCTGCAGCTTGCATGAGAAGTACTCTTTCTTTGTTCTACGTTAGTGTTCTATATATATATAGATGAAGAAAAATAAAAATATGTTTTATAAACATGTTTGATTAGAGAAACAAAAACAAAAATATAAAATAATATATTTTTATTATAGTTTTGAAATGAATTTTTATCGATTTAAAACAAGAATAATAGAAAAAATATATTCCTCACGTCCCTGTCTCTTTCATCAATATACTAATCAAATGTTACCTTAACATAAAATATGTACATGTCCCACATTTGAAAATCTTAATCGGTCGATAGAGTATTTATAATTGTTCATAAACTCACTATCAGATTATTTCCCCTACTAAATTATGACGCTCGATCGCAGCATCATTTAGTTGGTATATATACAGTGTTTTTTTCCCTTCCTTCTCCTGCTTCAATTTCTTCTGCAATATTTCAGATATAAAATTCAGTTGTTAAATCTAAATAATAGAGTTTTTGGTTTAAAATGATGTGTCAGTCGCAAAACAAATTAAAGGCATCTTTCAACCTGCTGCTTGCCTGTTCACAGTCTGCAAGACAAAGTTTATATTTGGCTAAACTCTGGGATTGAGAATTAAATGAGTGAAAAATTACATGGAAATCTTCTGAATCAAAGCTTACATCTGTTTGTAAATTTGATAAAAATTATTTTTTAAATTACTTTTTAATGCATTAAAATATTTTTTTAATTTTTTTAAAAATTCAATTTTAATATTAGGATATCAAAACAATTCAAAAACACACAATTTTTTTTTTAAATTTTTGGAAGCCTAATTTCACAAAACACTTAAATTGCATCTTGCATTGAGTTGGGAAATAAAATTTTTAGAATGTCATGAGGTAATAATTATTCAATTATTCTGTACTCAGTGTATAGATACTCTATCTATAATGTCAATAAAGAAGTATTCAGACTGAGAAGTTCAAACGAAATTACAACAAGCTGTTAATAAAATAAAATAAATAGAATATCTTCATTTCATTGCATATATCTAGTTGTAGTACTGGGCAACCTACTGAGCATGTTTCCTCAGCTAAATTCTTCAACCTTTCCTTTGTGTCCCGAGTTAACTGCAAAATCAAGCTCTTCCATAACCTAATTAAAATGTAGCTGATATCGGCTGGCCTTCCTTGATAGCTAGGCAAGATGCCATGGAAGTGAGTGTTGTTGAAGTTGACTTCTGCCGAGTCATGACTCGTATTTCTTAATCAATACCACATTGGTGAGCTAATGAACCTTCCAAATCCTCTATCAGAAAACTTGGCTTCTCCAGAACAGGAATAGGTGGTATTTTGTGGAATCACCCTAGAGTATTTTTAGATATTTTTTTTATATTGGTTGAAATTTTAGACTCCAATGTAGCTGAGCTGAGAGCGGTAGTTAAAACTATCGAATTATCAGCCTCTAATTACTTTCTACATTATAAACATATTATTATTAAATCTGATTTTACTAATGTCATTAACTGGATAAATAATCTTCATAATAGGTCTTGAATTTTCAAAAAAAAAAAAAAAAACCTTCCAATTCCATAGCGTGCACAACTACCTTAGCATTACTAGTCAGCATAATGCATGGTTTCTTTATAAGAAAGGAAAGTTTTTTTCCTTCTATTTTTTCCCCTAAAACATTGACGAAAATTCCTTATCTATATATAAAGCTGCCCTGCCACAGAAACTGGAAAGTTCTTGATACCACGAGGATGCAGTGAAGACCGAATATGTTCAAATAAATAAATAAAAAAACACAAGAGGCCCGTCTTAAAGGGGTGTATATTTAAAATCATTTCGAAATGAGATTTAGTTTCGATTAACGTTTATATAAAATTTAGTTTTTATTAAAATTCATATAAATTAATTTGAAGATGTCCTTAGCTTTTGAGGGGGACAAAAACGCTTGGTGTTGGGTGTTGATGGTTATCATGTACTTACAATAAAAATGATCCGAGCTTGAACTGCCATATTAATCCAGATTAAGAAGGTATTTGGCATTGCTCACTCCAACTATTTTTTTTAATTTTTTTATTTTTAGATATATACTGATATTAAAATAAACTAAAAAAGAATAAAATATTATTTTAATTTATTCTCAAATAAAAAATTAATATTTAAAAAATAACATTTACTATATTTTCCAACCGACACTACGTTATGACATTCGGATCTCTTACGGCAAAGCTCACAATCAAGCAAGAATGCTGGAATAATGGGCTTTAAGATTTTAGCCCGTTGCTGGGTTTACTTTTATTTCGGCTCTTGGGCAGCCTCTAGTGCCAAGTTTTGTAAGAAAATGACATTAATAATCTTTAATGACATTTTGATTATTATCAAACAATATTTTAGGTTTAATTTTTAGTGTAAAGGAATGAATAAGAACAAAACCCTATTTAAGTGGGACTTGATCGGATTAGGCATACCCAAACTCATAAAAAATCTTTATTAAAAAAACATCTGAACTATAATACGAAAATAAATCTATTTACTAATTAATTGAACTTCAAAAATACGTTTAAATCTATCAACGCTCTCAAATTTCAAAGACATTAACATTGTTAAAAAAATTATGATACTTGTGTAATGGAAAAGTAGGCTTGATGTGAATTTATTTTATATATTTGCACCATAAAATAATTGGCTAGGTATATATGTTTTACTTTTGTAAACCTTAGATCCAAATTTTAAGAAGGTGAGGTTGGATTTAAAAACTGAGGGAGTTACCTTCATCGTCTGGCTATAAAATGATGACAATTACACTTGAATATATGTTATTCTATAGTAATTAATATTACTAGTGACATTTCAAACACATGCCGGTAAACATCAATTGTTCCTTAATAATGGTAGGTCCAAGAGTAGAAGACCTGGACAGGGCTCGGCAGAAAAAGGTTAGGTCCGAAGATAACTTAAAATACATGTGAGATACAAGAAAAATATCTTTAAAAAAACAAAATCATGTTAGTTAGATTGTTTAAATTCCATTTGAAATTATATATATATAAAGAAATCCATTTATAACTAGCATATGTGATAGAAACAATTAAGATCGATGGAGAAGAAAGATTTTAACATTTGTAGTTCAAAATTATCTCAAAAGGGAATTTATTTTATATTTCTATTGGTTATATAAAATCAAACATACTTATGTTTTTTATTTTATTTGAAGACATTAAATAAACACAACCTATATATAATAAAGGACAAAACCGTTCAATAAAAAAAAGGGGGGGAAAACACTCCAAGCAAGCACCGATTATGTGTTTTTATGTCTAAATGATTCGAAAAATCATTTAAATCAAGAACTACCCAATTTTCGCATGTTCATGATCAAGAATTCAAACAGCAGGAAAAGGAGTACCATACCAGACTTTTTTTCAGAGCCATATGTGGGCATTATATTATGGTTGGGTTGTTTTTTAAAATGAATTTTATTTTTAATATATTAAAAATATATTTTAATATCCACGTATCAAAATAATATAAATATATTAAAAAATTTAATATAAAACAAAAAAATAAAAAAATTTATTTAAAAAATATATTTTTCAACCATATTTTAAATGACTTTGTCCGTATCATTGATAGTGAAAAGATAGGGGGGGATCTAGGACTCGTGGCTCAAATTACTGTAACGAATGTCTATCATGGAATTCATTGATTTATCATGGGTTACATCATCGAGGTTCGAGGACATGAAAGTTGGTACACATTTTTCACGCAGGGCATGGATATGACAGGTGTAATTTCTTGGTTGTTTTTTTTTGGTAGTGTGAAAGGAAATTATAGCTTTTCCACGAGCCTAACTCCCTGCTTTGCTTTTGTAATTAATGAAGTGTGAACCTTGAAAAGAATTGGTGATGCCGAAGGAGCTGATTTCATGGCCATCTCTCTAGGGTAGAGACCCCAATGCTTACGTCTACGATAATAACATCTCCTCCTCCTCCTCCTCCTTTTCTTGTAATATGAAGGAAAAGAATTTATTTCTTTCCTTTGTATTATTCCTTTCTCGCATGCCTAACTCCCTACTTTTGAGAGTAGGTTAATTAATTAAGATTATGAAATGAATAGGTTGTATTGAGTGTTGGCTTGTGAATGCGTGATTAATCGGATGGTGTTAGGATAACTAGAGGTAATCATGTTTTATTTGATTTAATTTTAATTTAAAATAACTAAATTAAAATTTAAAAAAACTAAAATTAATTTAAATTGACTAGTTTTTTAATTGGTCTAATCATTTTTTTATAATTATTTTTTTCTAGTTTTTTCAATTTAATTAATTTTTTTTCCTCATCCCTACCTGTAACCAAAGAAACATATCTCACTTTTTTTTAGGTTGAGAATGTTAAGGGAGAAAGAGGATGGTTCCTGTATACTTTATTCTAGTTGATTAATGAATTGGTGTATTTATTAGTGATATAATTAAAATCTCTACCGGCTTGTTTTTTAATATAAGATCCAGGTGATGGAATTTTAATTTTTATTAAAATAATGTTGGTTAAAATAAAAAAATCAAAAGAAATGAAACTTTATTTAAAAAAATAATAATTAAGTTTATCCTAGTCTTGATTGGATTATTCAAGTAATAGATCAAGTTACTTGCTTCAATCATGTAAATGGCGCAAATTGAAAGCTAGCTTATCTTATTTCAGTGCTGATTGAAAACGTGGGCTAAATGATATTTTATAAAAAAAAAATTATACTTTTTTATTTAAAATTATTTTAGTATGTTAATATCAAAAGTAATTTTAAAAACAATTGCACAATGTTGTGGACGGCAGCCTAATGAATACACAGAAGCTCTTGCTAATGGGCTGCGGGTTATGTCCTTGGATGGATGGTAACTTCTAATCTCATAGTATTGGCTGCGAGAACTAGAATCTATGATTATTTATACTCTGGATGTTCCTAAAATCTATCATATTGAACAAGTCGGGTCAATATATATTTTTTAATTTAAATTAAAACCTCGTTGGATTCCCCTCTTTGGATGTTCGGTCCCATGGCCCGACTAGCTTATCTAGGGTTGCTCGTTGGTTATTTCAGCAAACCGCTGTGGTTTCTTCCGGTCTATTGATTCCTGGTTTTAGTGTGCCCGGGAATATGTGATGACATGTACAGTTTTAATGTTTATAGATAGATATTCTTAGGCATTTTTAAGGGAGCTGCTAAATGAATAGCTATATATATATATATTAACTTTTCTTTCTTTATTTATTTTTCATACTCTACAGGGAAGGAGAAAGGTAAACAAAATGTTATTATTTCTATATATCTCTTAAAGGAGCTAAAATTAATAAAATGAGACCAATAAAAAAAATAAACCAATTAAATATAGCTATGTGGAAAAAAAACAATATTAAAATCATTAAAAAAATAAAATATTTATTAATTCTACTTTAATAGAATTGATTTTTTAAATGGTTTTTTTTACTTAAGCATGTATAATTAAAAAAACTATATTTATACTATTTAAAATATTATTTTATCAATTTATCTATTTTAAGATGCTTTTACAATTTTGATGAATAAGAGTATTCTGGCTCGTTGCGAATATAAAATCTCTCTAGTCAAATCCTAAAGTCCCATCACCAGCACAAGAGGGAAGATAAACTCCCCTGTATTAGTTCTGCAATGATCTAAAAATTAATTTTGATTTTTTTTATTCAAAAGAGATGTTATTAACAAGGAATCTAATTCATAAATCCAACATGTTTTTACGTTATTTTATTTTATATGAATGTGAAGTGAAACTGTTACCGGGAATTAAAAAGGAATAAACCCATAAAGATAGTGGTCAAATATTCAAAGGAAGTAAAAAAAAAAAAAAACAAATACACCGTCGTCGTCATCAAGGAAGAGGGGGGAACGACAAGAAGACAGCCAAACTCTGACGTGACCAGCACACTGACCACAAAATAAGGAGAATCAAGGAATGGAACCGTGCATGCCTCCAATAGCGACGAAAGATCCAATTCCAAGAAACCAAAGATGAACCACTCATGGTTTTAGAAAACCTTGAATAAATAGCGCATGGAGGGACAGGAACAGACCAACATTAGCAGCAGCAACATTATAATTTTTTATGTAAGTTAACTAGTTAAATTTTAAATTTATTTTTTAGATATTATTATTTCAAATGTTATAAATCTTAGAAATACTAGAAATTTATCTAGTTATTAATTTTAAAATTTTAAAAAATTAATTGAGGTGTGCATGTATAATTAAGTTAATCTGAACACTCATGTTAAAAAAAAAAAAAAAAGTTCTTAGCCCAAAAATATACTTGAGTGATGCATTGTTCTCATCTTAATTAGTCAAAAATTAAGAATCAACAACCACACTTGTGCCATTCAGGACATTGATCCATACCATTATGAAATGAATATATAATATTACAGTTGTGGATTTTAACTTTACCTTGGGAACTTAATTTCATTTAAAAAATAATAAATAATTTATAAATTAAAAACTTGAAAAACCTTTAAAATATATTTTCTTAACATAAAAAAGAAATTGTTTCAACCCAGAGGAGTGGCTTTAGTTCGGTAAATGATAGGTAAGAGCTTGCTCCACTATGATTAAGTGCCTTGATGTTCAAGTAGTAAGAACTTGTATTTACTTCCAAGAAAGAGATAAAACAAGGAAAAAAGAGAAACAAGAGAGAGAGAGAGAGACAATCAGTCAGGTGAAAATAGTCTTATCATGAGTTACGGATTTGATTTTTTTAATCCAATCTCTCTCTTAGGCTTAAAAAATAACTACTCATGCTAATTACTCTATAAATACTATATATATATATATTTTTTTGCCTTCAACCATTATGAAATTTATTTTTATCTCTCCTCTTTAATTCCATAAATTTCATTTTGATTGATAATTGTATTAAATTGGTTACTTATTTTTATATATTATTACATATTTGAAGGGAATATATACACACACACAGTCATTAATTATAATTTTTTTTTGGTAATATGTCATTGGAGAAGAAAATACATCCTAAATAAATACTAAATTCTCATGCACTTTGAAAAGGGCACGGGATTATGGGGCATCGATCATGGTTGATCTTTATGTAAGTGATCAGATATATAGGTCATCGATTCCAAATTATATAGTGTTTGTGTGTATGAGACTTCTAGCTTTATTATAAAGTCTATATATGACCCCATGATGAATCAAAAACGAAAAATTATACCATTTGAATATGATCACTGAGAATGTAAGTAGTCGTCCTCCCATAATGTCAAGTCCGTAGAACAAGCCATGTCATCCCAATAAACTCCTCTTGCCATAGCTGGCGGGGTAAGGATCAAACCCTCTGCCATGCTATCAAGTAATCCTGGCATGTTAAACAATGCCTCCTCATCAAAGAACGTTGCATTGGAATGATTAGGCATCTTCTCTGGGCAGCAGTTATTAGAGCATGACATGACCATATTTGAAGAAGGCTCTTCATTAGAAACTTTCTTGTCATATATCTCAACACTTTGTGTGTCAATTAATGAAGGTCTTAAGACATTTTCTGTGCCCTTCTCATGTGGAAGATCACTTAAAGATGGACTCAAGACTTTCCTTGACCTTGTCACGCATGAAAGTTTCTTATGATCAGGTGATGAGGAAGAAGAACACGAAGAAGCACTTCGTCCAAAGACCTCTGTAGCAGCAAGGGCAGCCCTTTGTATATCTTCGGCAGAAGACGACTTTGCTCGAGGAAGTATCAAAGCTGAATCAAGAAAGTTCAAGGCAGCAAACTCTCCTTTAAGTGCTAAAGCAGCAACATCATGTGCCCTAGCTGCCATTTCTGGGCTCTTGAAGGTCCCCACCCAAATTCTTGATTTCTTGTTTGGTTCACGCACTTCACATACCCATTTATTCCCATTTCTTCTCCGTACCCCCCTATATACCGGATGCCGCGTCTCCTTGAACTTCTTCCTTCCCGCTTTGTTCTTCTTCAAAACTACAACTGGCCGCTCTTGCCCTCGTAGAGGATTATTAATATTAGGGCTGTTGCATTGCTTGCATGATAAAGTCTGACAAATTGAAGATTGTGACGATGAATAATTCTCAAATTCCATTTAAGCTTTTAACAAGAGGAGAACAAATAGTTGAGAGCCAAAGCTGCAAGAGGTCAAGCTAGATATATAAAGTGGTCTGCACATGTAATGTTTATATACGCTAGTAATTCATTCACGAGCCTGAGACTGCCGAAAATAATGTACATGAGATTAATTAATTATTTGACCATTTCATTTGAGAATTGTTCAATCCGCGAAGCAGACATGGTAACAGTCATGGTGTTACACGAGCAACACACGGATGCTCGGGCTTCCACATGTGTGGATCAAAATTCATGGGGCCTGACAACCCCATTATACATTTGAATTATTAATAGTATGAATAACAAGACAGATTAGTGGGACCGATATTTTCTATGAAAGGACCCGCATTGATTAATGTTGTTCACGACCTTGAATGAGGACCCCTTGCTGGTTTCGATTTATTTGGAGGCAGTACTACCTGGTTTACAAACTCAGTAAGTAGTCATGTTGTGGGGTTCATTGAATTGGAAGGGGAGTAAAAATGGTATAAAAGAAAGGGAAAAGAAGTGGGAAATGAACGTAAACTAACAAAAAAGTACTTTTTTTTCCTTTTGTTATGATTTACAGGAAGAATTTAAAACTTTTTAGAGAGAGAAGAACACGGATGTGATCCATACATGTACCATAAGTAGTCAAATGCTATGGTTTATTTTAAAACATAAACTACGTGTTATGTATGTATTGTCCGAAATTTAAAACAATTTATTTTTATTGCTTAAATTCTTCACTCTTGTCAGATTTATGAAAACACGAAAGACAATTAAATGAATCGACGTGAATTATAACATAATGTCTCTCTCTCTCTCTTCATGACACGCATTTCTTCGATCCAAGACACAAAAAAAAAAAGGTGGGAAATTAAGAAATATAGGGTTGTCTTTGTTTTTCATGTGCAAAAAGATAAACATGGAACAAAAGAAAACACGGCCATCACCTCTTTTGATGACTTTAACGGACTACGTTATTTTAGGCTTTTTGTTTTTGGGAGGAAATAATTTGTCTTGATCATACAAGTGTTATTGATAAAACTTTCTTGGAGAGAATATATAATTAATTTCTTTTTTTACATTGAGTTCCGTCATGGAAAAAAAAGTTAAAAAAACATTATATGGTGCCTGTAATACATAAACTTAAATTAAATTCTAAAGATAATATTTTTTCTATAATTGAATTAATATATAACCTAGTATGCATGTATGCATAGTTACTGTGAAATAAGTAAAGAACCTTTCGACAATATATGATAGGTGTCGGCACCCAGAAAAAATATTCTCCATCTTGGCTTTTGAGCCAACAATTTAGGCATCAACTGTGAAGTGGAGTCCACTACAAAAACAAATTTGACTTGAATTGTCTAAAACACAACAGATTTTTTACTACAGAATTTGATCTTTTAAAGCAGCAAGGATGCCCCCCCTTGAGCTTTCTAATTAACCCTGGTAAACTAAATTAGCCACATACTTAGATTTGAACATTTTGATATATTTACAACAATACTTGTATTAGAGGTTTAATCATCTTATCAAGAATTTGCCCATTACTGATCACCTTGCACGTCTCTTTGCACCACCCTTGTATATATCTTCCAAGGTGGGAATCCTTGCTAGATCTTCTAGGTTTTAGTCCATGTACTGATCCCCAGTTGGACAAATTAGAGCTTACATGACAAAATCGAGGTTCTTCGTTTCTCCGAAAGACGATATTTCTGTCATGGGGCAATGATACAATGACACATCGTAGCTGACAATCCAGTTACTTGTGGCTCAGTTTGACGTTTTATAATATCAAATTTTTAGTTTTTTTATTGTAAGATTTTACTGTTTTATTATATTTCTACGTGCAGTCTGGGAAATCTTGGACTTCGTATTAAGCTTAATCCGTTTGTAGTTACCATGTCATCTTGCAATAATTATTTGGGTTTTAGCATAATTAAGCTGGTTGTTTTGATTCAATAACCGGTACTTCAGATTTCAATGTCTATTGTAACCTCTGCTTGGATGCATATATTTGTTTACTTACTTGAATCGGTTGTTTCTATATTAGTTTGCTTGTAGCGCTGGGTAGAAGAGAGCCTGTAGGCGCTCACCGCGCGCTCTGGTAATTATTTGTCGCCATCATGATTGCTTTTTAATACATTCATAACTAATTACCTGAGTTCTTATACTCTCTTTTATTCCTCTGAACAGAGCGAAGGATTTTGGTGCCGATTCCTTACTACACTAGGAGGAGCCTGACTTCTTGTTGACATGTTTGCAGACGTGAAAGGCTTTTCCCTAATGAGACATCACTCTAAAGGCAAGATGCTTTCAGTTTTTATTAGTTCGCATTAAACATTGATATATTTTCTCCATTTTAACTGTAGTCTAATCCATTCTTTAACTATTGAACGAACACTAATCGATATATGCAGCTGAACAAAACTTGATGTTCATACATTGGTCATTGTTGAATCTTGTTTCCCATTTTCTTCTGTCATTTGTGGTATACTCTCTTTTGATGAAAGGCAGAAGGTATTCTCACAGGGTCCTTTCGTATGCTCTCATAGCTAGTTGAATGAGAATCCTTGCTGAAGTTTTTGAAGCCGTCAATTGGGTGCTGGTGGTTTAACAGTAAAATCTCACGCATGGAGGCACAAGTGCGAGCCCAAGTGATTCCTCATTCTTGTAATGATATATCAATAGAATTTATTGAGAAACGGAGGAAAGGTTACGCGCTCTTTTCTGTAGAATATAACGATTCACGATTGACAGCACAGGTATCAGATAAGATGTTGTCAAATCAGTAAGGATAGGGAGGGAAAGAATTGCAGAGTCCAAGTGTTTTTTTTTTTTCTATTTTTAGATACTTTTTTAAAATATTTTTATTTAAAAAAATATTAAATTATTTTTTTAAATACGTGTTTATGTTTGTATGTCACATATTATATATATTATCACTTTATGACGTTATGCTGACTGACATCATAAGAAGAAAAATAAAAGAGAGATTTCTCATAATTGTGTCAGTGCTCCCTCGTGATACATGTTAGCCTATTGACTTTTTTCATTTATTCTCCTGCAAGTGTTAAAGTTTACAGACGTGCTTGATTTTTTATGGTTGTACCATGTTTTTTAATTGTTTTTTGGTTTAAAGGTTTTTTTATTTTTAAATTATTTTTAATAAGTTGATATTAAAAATAAATTTTAAAGATAAAAAATTATTTTAAAATATTTTTGATAAACAAAAATATTTGAAAAACATTGATGATTTCTTCATTGTTAATTAATGAAACTACACTTTCATTAAAAGAAACCGAAAGAGAACTTTTTGTTATTACTTTTCATCTCCTTTGTAAAGCAGCACAGTGTTTTTTAAAATTTTCAATTTAATTCTTAAATTATTATTCTGTATAATTTAGCTTTTTTCAATTTAAATTAGCGACTAATTACATATTTTTTAAGAAAAATAGTAAAATTAAAAGACAAAAAACTCACATAAAAAATACATTTAAAATAAGTGTCAGGTTTGAAGTTCAATTCAAGAGTTTATTTTACCCCTTATCTTTTTGAGCTATTTGATAATAGGTCCGTGTAGTTTAGAAAAAAAAATAATTTTGATATTGAATCTTATTTCCTTGATTTTCAATCCTTTTTTTTGGAAGAAGAGGTTATTTCCTTGATTTTCAATCCTTTTTGATGGAAAAAGAGGGAGGGAGTTGCTGTATTCCAATATAAATAAAGAAAATTTTTATTAGTGATTATTCCGACCATAAAATACAGTTATTTTTTTATATTAAATAGTTCTATATGATAAAAAGATTTCAGATTATGTTTTTTTTACTTTAAAAGTGTTTAAAAAAATAAATCTAGTCTCGAAATTTTTTTGAGTTTCGAGTTGGTTTTTTATGTTTTTTAAGATCATAAACTAGTTTAACAAGGTTTCTATAGTGTTTTTTAGGTATTTAAAGTAAAAAAATGAGTTAAAAATATATTTATTTATTAAAAAATCAAGGATCTAGTTTTCTAGCCACCATATGCCCAAATTCTATGGATTCCTAGATAACCCATCATCTGCTAATGCAAGTAACATGTTATTTTTTATTGAGATAATCAATGTAGATGACATGCCATCCATCCATTGACAAAAAAAATAAAGAACCGCATACCTGGGATTACCGTTGCATGCTCGCGAGTGAGTCGTTGCTTAGTTGGCGAGACGCTAAGCTTGGCTTACAATGTCCAACTGCATATGTCCTAATTCTTTTCTTTTATTTAAAACAATGAATTTATTTTAATTAATGTATTATTTTATATATGAATTAATTAATATCAATTCTTAGCAATTGTTTTCTATTTATTGTCTTTTTTTTATTGTAATTATTTTTTAATGATATTGAATATGTTTAATTTTTAAAGAGATTGGTATGATTCATATGTGATTTTTTAAATTTTATATAGATTAAATTTATTTTTTTATGTATTAATTTCTTATGAGATTTTTAATATGTGTAGTTTTGCATAAATATTTTTTTATTTTATTCAATGAACTTTACATTTGTATTCATTTTTATTTCAAATTTATCAAATACAATCGGATAAATTACTTGTGATGTGATATTAAATATCTTAATGTACTTTTGTCTCTTAGTTTTTTTATTTATTTATTTCTTGACATAGTAGTTATTAACTTGTCTAATTAGATGTGTGCATAATTTCTATTTACATCTAGAAATTTTTTTATTTAAATAAACAGGTTGAAAAATTATGCATATTTATTTTTTATTATTATATTTTGATATTTTAAATTTGATCCTTATTCTTATGTTTTATTGTTTTGTTCTTTTTATAAAATTTTATTAATTTTAATTTCACCATCCATTCTAAATTTATAGTGTTTTTTTTTCATTTTGATATATTCTTGTCATTTTTTTTAATGTTTCTATTTTTTTCAATTTAACTCTCAAATTAAGAATTTATTGTTGTTCTTTGATTTATTTATTTATTTATTGCAAATTTATCCCCCGTTTGTTTTATTGTTTTTTTTATTTTGAATTCATTTTATAGTTTTTATTATATAATTTTAACCCTAGAATTTTTTTATTTATAGTGCTTTTAATTTAATAACGTGGATCATGATTTAAAAAGTTAACAAAAATTAAATTTTTTTCTCATAGTATCATTATTCAATATTTTTTTAATTTTTATCTTATATTTTTATTATATTATTAAATTAATTAAGTTAAGAATTTTTTTTTATTTCTTTACAAATATAAGTGTACCCTCAACTCTTTTTTCCGGTTAAAAAAAATAGTCCGGCACATGACATCGCTTGACACCAATCTAGTGCCGACAGAAGTCGGTAATGAAATCCATAACTGCTAATTAATGAAACAACACCCTGAATCTGATGCCGACTAAAGTGGGTAGTGAATTATAACACCCTTGCATTCACGTCTATGTGTCCAATCACAAATCAAAGCTTTGATATTTTGTGCCCTCTTTGACGTCTGACTCACTATACATAAAAGTACTATTCATATTTCATAGTCTAGAGCTTGTCCCCGCTGATTAAAAAGGAAGAATAATAATTGTAAATCAGTGTTTGCCTAGCGGTGGAAGGGCTTGTCTCCTTTCATTGCATCTGGATTCGAGTCCTGACGTACACGTCTGTCACCTCCACGGTGCCTTACATGTCTACTGGGTTTGCTAGGGATTAATCGTGATGCGCGCAAGCTGACCCAGACACCCCACGTAAAAAAAAAAAAAGGTTAATTACCTTTTATTAAAAAAACATTGTTTTATTATTTTCTTTAGAAAAACTTCGATGTCAACTCAACCAGGTTTATATAAGACTAAATACATGTTTGCGCTTCGTTTCGCATCTTTTTCTATCAATGTGTTGGTTATTACATCAAAATTACTTGAATTCAATATAACCATCAAATTTATGATGTTTGAATTTGATGTATGCCACTTTAGTCTGAAATGGTTAGTACATTCAAGTTTTTTTTTTTTTAGCTTAATAATGATATGGATAACATATCATTTATCCTAACTATATTTTTTAAAAAATAAAAAAATTTAAATGAGACGTTGCTCATCGTATTTAGATTCCAATCATTATAATTATTAAAAAATCAAAGTAGCTGTTATTTTGTTAGAAATACATTTTCAACCTAAAATACATAAAAATCATCTCAATAACCTTTTTCAACCAATCTTTAATATTCAGAAAAACAAAGTCAAAAGTTCAAAATCAATTAGGAAACCAATTTCTTCCTGATTTCATATTTGTTTTTTAGGCACTTTCAAGATAAAAAAATATCAAGTCAAACTTTTTTCATCATATGAAACTACTTGGAATAACAATCTAACATTTTTGTTGTCAGAATCGAAGAAATTATATATTTTTTTCTTTAGGTTGGATTTCAGCCATCATTTTTCTTTTTTCTAACTCATTAAGAACTGAAAAATAATTAAAATAAAGTTTAGTACTAAAATAAAATTGTTAAAAAAAAACGACCGATCACCTTATGACAAAAAATATGGAGGATACAAATGTAATTCATTAATAAATTTAAATATATCACCCACGTCACTCTTATTTTACACTTCTATCAAACCCAAGTTGCATGTTGTTAAATCCACGCGACTTGGGTATAGCATGATTGTCAGACCCAAGACGCTTGGATCTAATATAGTTATCAGACTCAAGTACCTTCAGTCTGGTGCATCGCTAATCATACCTAGAGTTCGGCTACCATAATAGATGGAAAATCAGGGTATCTAATTTTTTTCCTTTCTAAAAATCTATTTTTAACCCAAATTATCTAGAAATCACATTAATAACTTTTTCAGACCAATCTTTAACCTTTAAAAGCACAAAAAACCAGTCAAAACCCCAAAATCAACCCAAAAACCAATTTCTTCCTGATCTCATACATGGTTTTTTTAGCACTTTTAAAATAAAAAGACACATAAGTCAAGCTTTTCTTATCATATGAAACTATTTAAAATAAAAATCTAACATTTTAGTGGTTGAAATCAAAGAAATAATTTTCTCTCTCTAGATTAGATCTCGACCATCCTCTTTTTATCTTTCTCTCTCTCTCCTCTCACCGACCATGAACTGAAAAATAATAAAAATAAAATTTAATATCGAAATGAAATTGTTAAAACTTCAAAGAACCAATCACCTTATAACAAGACAATAAAAGGGGCAAAAACATACTTCACAAATAAATTTGCACACACCACCCATGTCACTCTTATTTTCTACTTTAGTTCCTTGACTTTTAATTCAACCCTTAACCATAATAATAATAATAAAAAACATTCAATTAAGCTTTAATTTGAGCTCAATTGCACTAAAACAAAGTTCAAGAATCAGATTGAATTATTTTTTTAAATCTCACCATTACAATCCACATGAAACATGAGGAGAAACAGTAAAATGATATACAGTGAAACAGCCACGCAGTTTATATTATAAGTAATTTGTTCGAATCAATGAAGTTACTAAAAACCAATGAGATCAATTACGTTTCAACGGATCAACGATATTTTTTATTCAACTTGAAATTGAACCTGGATCATACACGGAGTGACAGGTTTTATAGGTCTACCTGCCAGACCAAAGCCAGGTTTAACAACTACGCAGAAAAGGAATGAACATCAAGCTCCGGTGCTAAACAAAACATGTTTCACATACAAGTAAAGTACACTGATATATCCACAACATCATCTCGCATCACTATTGAGAATAGGAAAAAAAAAAAAATTGGGCAAAATGATAAACGAAGATGCTGGTACCTTTCCCTCGCTAGCTCTTCCCATTTCAACATTGTAAATGAGCCGGGAGAATCTAAAAGGCAGTCACTGGGAAATAATTTCAAGGATGTTATGGACAATCAACCAAATTGTTAGACCAATACAGGTGAGGTCCACGTGCAGATACTTGGAACATTCCATCTCATAACTAGGATTGTACGATCATGAAAATTGGTGACTATCTACTGTTGGAGATGACCTCCTCCTCCACTAAGGAATAGCTATGTCCTTGTGATTTCCGTAACCGACAGATTCGTTTTCTATGCCCACGGCCCTGTTTGTGCTGTTCCCACTCATGAGCTCCTCTAAGCACTCTATTCCCACAAGCCTAACAGCAACAAAGACGCAAGCAAGCATATTTTAGAGCCTAGCCCTTCTTCTTCCAAACACCGGCCGAGATCGACAATTTAAGTAAACAAGACAAAATTAAGAAAAGCGGATAATTCTTCAAGTACTTTGAGACATGCTAACCTTGCAAATGTATTGAGTCCACAAGTTCCTCTCAACTGATTTCATTCCACTACCAACATGCGTTTCCAAATCAGGCACTGCACTCCTCTCCTCGGTTAGAAAAGCTCTGATAACATTCACAGCGGAGCTAACAACTTGTCCAGCCCACAATTCATCCGATTTGCCTGAAACATGAGTAACCGTGTGATTTAGCAGAGGGTACATTGCATAGCATGCTAAGAGAAGGGATGAAACTAGGACTTGGAAAGGCTTACATGATATGAATTCTGTTGCATCTACATAATGTATGTTCCATCCAAAGAATGTTTGAAGCCGAGTAAGCCTCCTCTTCTGTAAAACAATAATATTTAAATCACTTAAGTCTTTGAGCTGACCATAAAACATGAAGTTACATGTGTTGGACACAATGAACACATTAAACAGAGAATGAGGGGCACCATAGCAATTTCATGAATGATTTGAGTAAAAATATGATAAAGGATATAGGAGCTGCTTGTGCATTCAAGAGGTACGATTTTTGCATGTACAGTCACAAACACATGCACATATACAGTATAAGCAATGCTATAAACAGGAGTGATTGTTTCTGATGTGTGAAAAATATTGAAATGTCAGATATGATCTTCAACACAAGTGCATGTCTGACAAAGACAAGGAGATAATGTGAGACAATACAGACTTACTTGTACATGAACAAGTCTTCTGGTGTTTGCTTTTACTTTGTCGATAGCTTCTGCCAACAGAATTTTAAGTTGGTTATCGTCAGATGAATAGAGGATTTCCCTCATATTATCTTTCAACAGCTTCACATCCTCGTTTTTTGACTGCACAAAGAGAGATCTAGTAGAGTCGTATCCTTTTTCATCTGACATGTAAACCCTCAGAAAATTATCAAACTCCCGCACACCAATGGCTTGCCGCAAACCTCGAGTATAATCCGCATTATAATTGTAAACCTCACAGACTTCATCAAGTAATCCAGCATCTATCATGCTATCTACTCTTTGTTCCACATACTGGTCCAGAACTGGGATATCAGCATCAACACATACAAAACAGCAACGGAACCTATAATTATCCATGCAACCCCAATTCTGCCCTGCCACAATCAAGATGTTACAAATTTAAGAGCAAGCAGGTAAGAATAGTTTCATTTCTACAACTCTGTTTTGTGAAGCTTCAATTCCAACAGTTGGAATTGGCTTTGATGGATCCAAATCCCAATCTGTTCAGTTAAGAGCTAACATGCTGAACCTAAGCTGCTGTGACATCAGTTTTATTCCTCCTGGTAAAAGTTACTACTTCTTTCTAAATCCAGAAAATCTCAGTAAGGGATGCAGATACTGGCAGCAACCAATCTTCTTCAAGTAAAACATACTGCATTTCAAAATTTTCCAACGTGAAGATGCATGCCAAGACATCAAGTAGCTAAAGTGTCAGAATTTTGTTGAATCATGAAAGGTTAAAATACAAGCAAAACAGCAATTTAAGAAGATGGCCTAAGGCCTAAAATAAAAGTTACAAGCAGAAAGCAAAGATATGTTAAAAATATGAAAATGAAAATAAAACAGAGTAAAATAATAGGTAAACGGAGACACACAAAAAAACTTCAGGGGGCATCTATTTACTATATTTGGAAATCACACTTAAAAGTGAGGTGAAATTGAAAATGTGTAGGTAGCATACCCTCTAAATTTAAAAAACAAGTATTGATAAATAACTGCCCACATACATGACATTTGTTTTTCCAAAATCATAACAGCTTCAAAATAATAGCAGAGTTCGATGCTGGTATAAAATATCTGAAATATAATGAGAAAATGTATGATCAAGCTGAATGGTGCAAAAGGATCCTTATAGCTGATGCCAACAAGTTTGGATTGATGTTTAGCAGTTGTTTATAATGAGAACAAATATGATCGCATGAATACATATTTAGTAAGAAATACAAACCTCTGCAGCCTTTCCCTGATAAAGTTTGCTAGGGAGGATACCAGAGCGAGCATACAAATTAAGGTACTGATTGATCTGCATAGAAAACAATATTTAGCGATATCCAGAAAAAAAAAGAGTCCATACCATGTCTTTCTAGACTAATTAGTAGATGCTGCTGCTGAAAGGGAGATGCCAAGTTTACAACAAAAAATTTCTAATGAATTTATCAATCCTCTCAGGAGAAGACTTTTTGTTCATGCACAATCATTTTTCTCTGTAATTATGTTTCAGTAAGACAATTCATCTAGGTAAAAAGAAGATGAAGTGAGCAGAATAACAAAAAAATTTCATTGTGGCACAACAATTAAGTCTGCGGAAATAAGGTAGCTACAAAAATTGCACATTTCAACATGTTTTCCAAGGACTGCACTAAAGTGAAAAGTTGGAATCCCAACCTTTCTATGGTTATTTGGGTGGAGTCTGTTTGCTGCAACAGGATCAAGTTCTTTAAGATAATCATAGCTATAATTGAAACTCTCTCTCCCAGAGTCAGTTGCGTGATCAGTCTGCTCATCACCTGTTAACGTGTGAAGTATATCAATCTCATTTAAATTGCAGATTAATGCAGATTAAGCCGATAGAGTTGGTATATACCAGAAGGATGATTCAGAAAGCTTTCATCTAAATCATTTGTTGTATCATCCAGAAGGAATGGACTTACAAGAGCCTGAACGCAGTATGTAAATGGAAAAGAGTAAAAGACAGCACAGCAGTTTTAAAAAGGAAAATGAAGATGCAAGAGTTAACAATTTGTAATGTGAATATACTAAAAGAGACAAATCTCTTCCTGGTCAGCCCAGAAAGCTCCTTGCCATGAAATAAAAGAAAGACCTCCATGCTAGACCTTACTCAAATGACAACGCAAACAGCATTACCTGGATATAGTAATTTGTACCTCCAACAATAACTGGCAAGCAATTGCGAGAAAGAATCTCATTGATGAGCTGAAATATAATAAACTCAATCAAATCAAAATATGCACATGATCATTTAAAATAATGAGAAATACCTAAGCCAAGACAAATGGTTGTGTTTGCGATAATTAGGACTCAGCACTAATTATCATTTGACAATTAATTGAGTTGGCAAGGCCAAGAGGATTGCTACAGAGCTTAACCAAATAACACTGTTACTTTTTAGCCAAGTAAATAAACGGGAATTAGAATGACTCTATCAACTGTTAGTACCACGAAGCCATTTATTGCATTATTAGTAGCTACAATAAAGACCATGAAAATCCCAAAAACCACACAACATTTCAAAAGGTATCTGCATTTCCCAATGCTGAGAACCTATATGGCATATGCGCAGTATCAAATGCTCAAGAAGAAGGCAAAAGCTAACTCACAGGAATAGCAGAATCCCGAAAGTCCTTAGCAGTGAATTCCACATTTGGATTTACTGTTCCCAAGAGATGATGTGGAACTCCTGCATCCATTCACAAAATCATAAAATAAAGAAATAATAATACCAGGAAATTTCTATGAAAATGAAGATTTTTTGAGGAAAAAATAACGAAAGAAAAACCCAATTTCCACAACCTAGGAAAAGAGGTAACCATGTACAGAGAGATGGAACTCATGGGCAGGACCAATAGTTGTTAGAAGATTATAAGCAGTCCAATCTCTATAACATAATCCAAGTGTTAGCGAGCATCTAAAAATAGAGACCCATTACATCGCTCAAACAATAAGCTATCTATATTATATTAGTTTTGTAGACAATAACCTAAATGTTGGGTAAACTTTCCTTCCCTTGTCTATAAAATATAAATATTTTCATTTCGAGCATTTGAAATCATCACACTCGGAGTCATAACCTCTACACCATCTAATGTCTTTCTCTCCCGTTCATTCTAAGTAGTTTGGAAACTGGTCTAGCCTCCACGTAGCCACGAAGATTTGCAACTTTGTAAGATATTGGTAGCTGTTAAGGAATTTCAAGGAGTCATACGTAGGATGCAAGATTATACCGTAATTCCAAAAATAATTAAATGGAAAAGAGAACTTCTAGAATATTTTTGCCAGAATGTTGATCCTTAATTCCAGCGAAGACAAAGACGTTGTGTTTAGTTAAATCTATTTGTTCTTACTTAATATTGCTAACACATTACCAAAAAAAATCTTTGCTTCAGTCATTTCTTCAAGAAAGTTGGCTAAATTATTGCCAAACCTCAGTGACTTAATCTTTCTTTTCTTTTTACGAATTTATAACCAAAACCCATTAAGATTTTTTTTATTATAAGTGAAAAATGAAAAAATTCATGGCTGTAATACTTGTTTGTAAATTACACAATATATAAAAAAAAGATTGCCATTTTTATAAAGAAGACGTAAGCACAACATATATTAACATGTAGAAAAAGAAAGAGAACAGACCCTCTTGATCAGAGATGGGGACTTTGTTGGTGAGAACATCAAGACCACGGTAGACCTGCATGGAATCAGCGTTGATGATTTCAACAGGGAAGTGGGCTGCCAAATCAATGGCTAGTTTTGATTTTCCTGAACCAGTTGGACCCATTATTACTACCACCTTTGGCTTCTCTTCTTTTTCTTCTTTCTTTGTAACTGTTGGCTTTTCCCCTTCATCGGTATTGCTAGGGTTTTGCAGAGCTTCCTCGGCAGCACCGTCACTCTCCATTTCTCTCTCCGTGCTTCTCTCGGAGGCAAGCCACGCGGTACACGACATGTCAATCAAAGTGTCATGTAAAATATGTAAGGGGTGGGTTGATGTGTCTCTTGGGCCTTATTAAATCATCTCCATTGGGAATAGTCTTCTTGTCTTTACCCAACAACAATAAGGTTTGGGCCGGCGCCTAAAAAACATCTGGGCCGATTATATCAGCACCTTCTTGAGATGACTAATGGAGATCCACCATGATTCGCATCACGGAAATTTTATCAGCAAATAGGTACACAAGATAAATGATCTTGTATTTGAATTAAATTACATAATATGAGATTATTTATATTATTCGTTAGAAAATTTCCATAATACCCAGCATAACTCTAGATAGATTAGTGTGGCGTGGTGCCTCCATGGTTGTTCAGTCCAGTGTAGTTTAGTGGGTTCATCAGAGATTTAAAATTTGACAGGGGTTAAATTTTAATTAAATTAAATAATATATTGATTTGGTCAACCCTGTTTTAACTCGTTATGATTTGTGTGGCCCCATTGGCAAAGACAGGTTAACACCAAGAAAAAACCATATAAATAACATTGTTTAATAAAAATAATTAATATAAACTTATTTGATAATTGAGTTGATCGATCATTCATATTATTTGTCAAGTTAAAATCTAACAACTATATATTAATTTTGATATGAAAATATAATCAAAAAATTATTTTATGATAGATGGACTCTAAATAAATTAATATATTTGGAATTTTACAGTCACATATTGATATAGGCAAACTTTTCCAAGTATTAAGATTCATCGGGCCATAAAATCTCTCCCATCCACGACAAGTTCATTTATAAGGTCCATTAATCAATTTAACTTAGAATTAATGTTCATAAAAAGAGAGAGGTTATCTTCACATTAACTTAGAACTAAGCGAGGAAAACTTGAAGTGCATAATCAATGCTGGAACCAGTGTATAGCTGCATGGCTGCAAACAATTAAGGGTTATCTAAAATAAAATAGGACAGTAGTTGTTTTTTATTTTTTAAAAATTATTTTTAATTCTAGTACATTTGAATAGTTAATTTAAAATAAATAAATAAATTTTATTTAAAAAAAAAATAAAAACAAACAGTCACTAATTCTGGTGGCATATCAATCTAGTGATTTTGGTAGCTGGCTTGTCACAGATACAACTAGGAAATCTTCATGAAAATTTCAGTTTCAAGATTGAACAAACATTTCTTGAATTTGACTACAAGAATGAGAAGGTCAAGATTTGACATGTGAGTAGCACCAAACCTCCATGGTGGGTGCTTCTGCCCTATATGTTAACAAAAAAAAAAAAAAACTGTCCATGAAAAACCCACTAAAAATGAAAATAAAAATCACAGAAATCACAAGATATACACCAAATTCAAGGGCATGCATGGCAACAAATTAGCATAGCATGGCTGGCAATTGCTGGAGTGTTTGCAGGAATTCAGGGCAGAGTTTCAATATTCCTGCTCAATTCCTCTAGTTTCTTCATCCTTAGTTTCTCGCTTTCACCCACCAGCTGACCAACCAGTTGATACAAAAAAGAAATAGAAAATATTAGCAAACTAAAATTGAGATTTAACTAATTAAACATCATCAGTGGAGTATTATATGGACTAACATAATATCTAATTACCTCCACTAATTTGGAAACAAGCTGAGCTTTTTCTTTGTTCTTGTCATTAAAAGCTTCAAGGGCTTCTTTGTATTCTCTCTCCTGCAATCATATAATAAACTCTTGAGGGGCTACTGACATTCTTTGCTTCAATGCATAATTAACTAGTGTTGTAAATCTTGGATCAGAGTTAATGAATAATTATTAAAATATCCCATTAAGTTTTATTTCTTTCTTAAGGTAACAAACCCAGTATCATGACCATGTAGCTTAAACAGGAAAAATGAGCATACTGTTCTTAAAAAAATGTAGATATATAATTAAATCTTTATCTGATAATATAGAGAAAAACATTGGATTATCTGACTTGCAATGTTTCTTATATTTCCCTTGATAAATAATTTGAAAAAAATATTGAATTACTGGGTAAACAAACTCGTGAATCATTGTATTAATTATTTTTATTAAAAATATATTGTTTTTTAATAAAAATTTAATAGCCAGTTCTAGATAAGTTTGCCTGGATAAACTGAGTGGGTAGAAATCCAATCAAATCAACTGAATTTCACTCTGTATTGATGTTTTTATCATGGCAAAGGAAGAAGAGAAGGAAACAAGCCAGAATTTTAATGTCACCTTCTTCTGGCAACTCAGGCCCAGAGGCTTCAGCTCTCTGTTGACTGTGTCAATCCTCTTACGTACCATCGAAACTTCCTTCCTCATTGGATCCGTCAGAGCTTCAAGCTCCTAAAATATATATTTTTCCTTTAAAAATCCACAGTAATATCTCCCAAACAAAAAATAAAAAAAAAGTCCAGGAAATATAAACAAAATACAATTTATATAATAATGGGAATTTATTATATTTTTATTACAGATAAATGGTTTTATTGAATTATGAAGACAGTAAAAAAAATAACAAGAATATATATATTATTATGATGTTAGACTTACTTCACGAATTTCTGCTAAACGTTTGGTTGCTTCCTCCACACGTCCTAGGTGAGCATGAACCTTGTCTCTGACTTCCATCTTCTTCTTCTCAATCTCTTCTTCCTTTGCCCTAAACATGGCCAATGCTGACCTTGATATCTCCTCATCCTTTTCATCCCTTAACAGTGGGCTTTCATTGTAATTGCTGATAATGCCTGAGCTCTTCAATTTGATCTGCATTTGTGACATTTGTTGCTCCAATATTGGTTTTTGTGTTGTCATTTTTTAGCCCCTTGTTTATCCCTCCCTGCCTCTCTCTCTCTCTCTCTCTCTCTCTGTCTCTTCCTTCTTTGCTCTTTTTTCTTTTTGATATGATTGCTTTCTTTCTCTTGTTGTAGGTAGTTTATAAGCAAAAGCTGGCTTTAATGGTGCGATACCAGCTTGCTTACTTTACAACTAAACAAAACACTAAATGACCCATTTGCCCGATCACCTTTAATCATGAAGGTAAAAAGAGGATTTCATCTTTGTTGAATGTAGACTTAATTTTGAAATATCCTCTTAACCTTCCTTTCACCTTTACTCTAAATGAACATGATCACAAATTATGGCATTGCAATTTAAGAGTGTATATGGTATTTTTATTTTTATTTTTATTTTTTAATGTAACTGGCCAATTCTTTCAATCTGTGTGTCTCTATATATATACACTATACTTTAATTCGTATGGAAAATTTAATATGTTGGTATTATATATATAAAATTTTTAAATTGTGGATTATATTATAAATATTCAGTATGAATGCGTTATCTTTCTTTTTTTTCAAAAGTTGTTAGATGCATATTAAGTTAAGATATAACTATCAAATCCAAAACATTTAAAATATTTTTAAAATTTTTAAAATTAAAAAAATTATTATTAACTTACTGTGAATAGCGGGCCAACATGTTAATATGTATAAAAACTTGATGAATTACTGAATGGGCCTCCTTTGGTAGATGGAGATTTTCTCTAGTCGGTATCTTGACAAATTTCTTAGCTAGCTATACCGATCCTAATTAATTTAGTGTTCATGTACTAACAAGACAGATACACATAATAAGTGGTATTTAGTGCAAAACATACATACAATTCTTACCGTATCTTAAAGGGTAATGCCAAATGATGGTAGATTAGCTGCATAACACAGCACCATTATCAAGTCTAAATTTGAAGAGATAGAGAGTAATATCACAGGCAATCAATTATTTTCCAGATTCTTATGCATGGCAATCTTGGTCATGTAGATATGATGCGAGGGAGTTAAAATTTGGTTGAAGGGTCTATAAGTAGAGGTAAATCTTCTTTTTCACTTGAAGAAGGGTGCTTTGGGTGGAAGTTTTGTTCGTGGAGTGGACAGGAAGGGCTCACCTACGCTATATATTTCCTTGAGAGCCTTAGGGGACAAGACAGAGTAGGAGAGACTGGCAGAGCTAGCTTGCCTTCATTACATATCATTACCCTCCCATTTTTAAATTGTAACTAAGAATCTTGGCTTTAACACTTCTAATCTTTTTGGTTTCCCATGTTTTCTATTGCCTGGCATGTCAATGGCTTAGCAACTACAATGCCCGCTTGCTACAACTTTTGATCAACAGATTCTTTGGCGGCTCTCTCATTTTTTTTGAAATTTCAAAACAGAAAAGAAATGCAGACCATCGTGGTTGTAATCAGGGATATAAGTTCATAGGACAAATCTTAAAAAAAGCCTCGGAACTATACATTAAGTATGGATTTTACCCTTAAAAAACCGTTTTTATACCAATTTTGCTGCTAAACAATTTCGATTATTCAATTGGGCCTTCTATTAAGTTCTTTACAAGAAGACAAAGTCAAGTTATCTACAAACTGAAGTCGTGTTGTTTTTAAAAAGGTACAGTGTGTCGAGAATTCATGATCAAATATGGATGGAAGGGGACAAAATTGATATAGAAATTTATTTGAAAGCAAAATCAAGACTGCCTATGTAAATGGGGGGCTATTTTTGATGTTTTCTTTCTTTACCTTTAATTTAAATGTAGGGACTGAAGACAGGTCGATGAGTTGATGATTCAATACATAGGAAAGCATCAACATTTGATGGCCATGACTTTCCACTTTCCAGCTGATGATGTTCGTGGTTGCTGATTCAATGAGCCCACTTTTCATTTTGTTTTCCTAACTGTGGTGCTGCTTAGGCCCACATTGATTTTATGATCCACAAATCTACGTTCTATCTTTAAGAACTCGAAAAGTTCTGAAGATTGCATGGCGTCCAAAATGTCTAAATGATAAGCTTGATGCGAGCTTTTTCTCTCCAAGTTATGGGGTGCTGTCCAGAAAGTGGAGCTTTAGCTTTTGCATTCTGGTTGGCTCTGTGGTTCGTAAGAGCCGGTTCAAGCCAGCGTGATTGTGCTTGTGTGCCTAATTATCACTTGACCAGGTTTTTTTTTTTTTTTTTGTGCGTTTGCTCAAATGGGAATTGCACTCACTAGATGTAGGGCAGCTCCCTTAATTTTTTTTCTGTGTATCATTGTGTTTTAGAGACAGCCTTTTCTGCTAGTGTTGGCTAATTAACTAGTTGGTAAGGTCTTGATGGAGGTCTTTGAAGACTTGAATTAAAACGCATCTACACCTGATATGAAGAGGAACGAAGGAGAGGAGGTTACTCCATTGTGCTGGAGACAGTCCTTCTACAAACAACAACAACAACAATAATTTTTTGATCTAGTTTCATTTGCGTAGAGGATGCTGGGTTTGTTTTGAAATTAACAAAAAAGAAAAAAGAAAAGGATAGGAATATGTAAGATAAACAATAGCAATTTTATTGAATTAAAAAAATAATTATAAATACTTAATTGAAAAAAAGTAAAAAATAGTTTACAACTCCGAATTCATTTGCGAAATATTTTCTTTTCTATTAGAAACTAAACCTGCTTGTCGTAAGATATATATTATATTAGCAAGGGAAATAAACTTTTTTTCTTGATTTAAATAAAATATTTCAATCCCTGAAAAACCCTACTCTTTGTATATTGGGAAACAACAAGATTTTCACAGAGAATCGAGAAGAACTCTCACAATTTTTTCTCGAAATCTTCCCAATTCCAAACGAGCCATACTGCTAAATCTAACACAAGATCTAAATTTAAAATCCCAGTGAAAAATTCATTTAATTTCTATTGAATTCTGATGTGATCTATCGTTTAAGGTGCGAGGCTTGAGACGGATCACAGGTAAGGGTGGCAGCTTCTCGGAGGCAAATGCAATCTATGTTGCTCGCAAATACTGAGCCCATCTACTAGTATGTAACAGACACGATTGAAAATGGGCAAGGCCCAAATAGGTTACTGGTACCCGATGACCAACGAAAATGGCAGTCCAATAGGACTTTTTTCTTTTTTCTTTTAAAGAGGGTAATTATTTTATTATCTTGCTTCTTTTTTTTATTAAATTTTTTATGTATTTATCTTAGTCTTTCTAATCAAATCCATTTTTTCTAATAAAATCCATTTTATCTTTTTTTATATTACCATTTACAAGACATTATTTAAATATAACCTTAATATATATTTGAAAACAACTAATTCTTTCACATTCCTTTAAATCGTCTAGTTTCATCCTTCTTGTTTTATTTAATTAAAAATAATTAGCCAATAATAACCCAATTATTTATCATCCTTTTCTCTCTCATTTTGCTCAAAATTTTAAAATTAATGTTGTGACTTGAAAGATGATTAATTATTTAACAACATAATTAGAGTATCAACAATTCAATATAAATATTAAATTTAGCTTAATTTGATTAGTTGAACAAAAAAAATTGAGATTCAAAATCTAACATTTTTAATTAAATAGATATTAATCCGGTAAAACTTTCTACAAAATCTAATCCGAACCTAAATCTAACACGGAAAAAAAATCCTAATCAAACGTAAACACATCTACGTGAGATCAAAAGAGCCGTAACCCATCATGGGTCAGCTAGTGTCAAAAGGAAAACCTTTGGTCCACTCAAAATCAATCCAAGTCCAAGTCTCCTCCTTTAACCCTGCCCAACCTCCACCTCTGTCAAATCAACCAACCCCATCATAAGAGCCACTGGACATGTCCACACCGTATCCCCATTAAAAATCAAGGGTACATTGGAAGCCACACCAGAATTTCTGTTTCTGTACCTAAAGTTATTCGAGACAAGAAAAATCACCGCTAAGTAAACCTCAAAATATCTCTCTTCAGAGGAAAAAAAAGTTTCAATTTTTCTTCAAATTCTAAAGAGGAAACGAAAAATCCTTTAAACCCACATCATCGTTTCTCTTTGCTGTTGTTTTTTCCTCCCAGTTAAGAAACCCAGTAAATAAAACAGGTCCTTTTTTTTGTTGTGTCGCTGAAAGCCTCCTTTTTCAATGAGACATCAACGGCACAGCAATGTTTACATCAGTAGACCTTTGTCTCCACCAACGCAGACGCCGCGTTGTGGAATAAGAGACTGTGAGCTTGAAGAAAACAGCCGGTTTTCTCATGCTAATGAGTCTCGAAGTCCGGCGAGGAGAGAGAACCAACAACATGGCAATGTCAGGACACGGGAAGAAGTCGAAGGAAACAGGCGGTTCTCACGTTCTTATCAGTCTCGAAGTCCGGTTTGGGCTGAACCACCCAGGTCTAGACAGGATGGGAGAGAGCGCCAACAGCTTGGCGATGTGAGAACTCGAACCCCACCTCGAAAGCGGGATGAAATCGAAGGGAACAGGCGGTTTTCACAATCTCACCGGTCTCGAGGTCCTGATTGCGCTGAGCCACCCAGGTCTAGACAGGATGGGAGAGAACACCAACAGCTTTGCGATGCGATAACTAGAATCCCACCTCGAAAGCAGGATGAAATCGAAGGGAACAGACGGTTTTCACTTTCTCATCGGTCTCGAAGTCCGGTTTGGGCTGAACCACACAAGTCTAGACAGGATGGGAGAGAACACCAACAACATGGCGATGTCAGGATTCGGTCTCCACCTTGGAATCGTGAAGAAGGAGTAACAATCATGCGGTCTTCTGGTTTAAATCAGCCAGTTGAGCCGGACCGATTGGGTTCGGTACATAGGAGAGAGGGTGATAGGCGGTTTAATGAAGAGAGAGATGAGCATTTGGAAAAACTGTCACAGTTTTGCGAGTCTTTGTCGAAGAAAGGATCAACCTTCAACAAGTTTCAATGGGACAATTTACTAGCACAAGAAAATCAACCCAAGAATGGAAGTGCAAATTTGGGTCCTTCAGTTGATCCTTGGAAAACCAGTGGGATTGTTGTTGATTCTGGTGTGGTCCCCGCATCAATGTCAATGGAGCATGTGGGGCCAAGAAGCCATTTTGAGTGCTGCTTGGATGCCACAACAAGGGGTGACAATCATGGGCTTATTGATGGTGGCATTGGTAATGTCAATGTGTCGCCTTTTGGCGAACCTGTTAGGGAGAGGTTTGAAAGGAGAAGTACTAGTGTTATCGACCCAATTGTGGACAAATTTGAAAGGAATGATGCTTCTGTAGTAGGGCATCGTTATGTTGAAAGGGTTAGGGTGTCACATTCAATGAGGCAAGAGGAGAAAGATGTGAAAGATTGTAGGAATGATCATGGAGACTATGGGGTTTTTATTAGGGAGAGGGGAAATATGGGTTCACTTCCCATGGAATCCTCATTTCAGAACATGAAAAATATCAGAGGAAAGACTTGCTTTGTTGACATGATTGATGGAAATGATGCTGCTCTTAATGAGCACATGAGAGAGAACAGGATGTTGGACAATCCTGGGGTTTTTGGAGAAAGGTACCCTTATGCTGAACGGGTTAGTGTTTTCCATTCAATGGAACTAGATGGGAGAGATAAGGACTGCAGAAGTGATCCTGTGGAGTATGGATTTATTCAAGATAAGAATGAGTCTCATTTGAGGAAAACTTTTGTTCGTGAGCGAGCTAATGTGGGGTCACTGCCCATGGAATCCCCATGTGAAAACATGAGTGTGTTAAGGAAAAGGACTTGCTTAGTTGACCCAATTGCTGACATGATTGATGGAAATGATACTGCTCTTGGAGAGAGAATGAGAACAAGCAGGATTCTGGACAATCTTGGTGGTTTCCAAGAAAGACCTATCAATGTTAGCAGTGTGTCGTTGCGTTCATTCGAGCAAGATGATAAAGATGAGGAAGCTTTGGTTTCTAGGAATGACAACATGTACTATGAGATGGAAGAGTGTTTGGATCCTGAGAACTTGAAGTCAACAGAGGAATGTGGTTTTGAAGGGGATGGGGGTAGCATTGGGTCTTGTGGAGATGGTTATAAGAGGGTGCCGGTATCATATGATGGACTGTATGCGACTGAGAATAGTTCGCAAAGGGTGGTCATGGAAGAGCAGCCTGGTATTCATGGGCATTCAGAATACATGCTCGACGGACGGCATATTTTCGACATGGAAGCTAGCATTCATGATCAAAGAAGTGTGATATCTTCTGATTGGAATGACATTGAGCGGATGCATGATGTGAGCTATAGAGATGGAAAGTGGACTAATCAGGATAATGAGCAATATTCTTCATTGGAGAACTCGGGATTGAGGCATTTGCAAAGTGGGAGGGATGGATGGATGATTGATGACAGGGCAAGCCATGAAGATGCCTATTCTTTCCATCCCTTACCTTCTACAGATAGGCATCTAAGCGAGCTTGTTGAACCTCCGAAAAGCAATGTGAAGCAGCGTTTGGGGCCTCTGCGAAATGTGAAGCAGCGTTTGGGTTCTGTGCGAAATGTCAAACAGCGTTTGGGGCCTCCTCAAAATGCGTGTAAGAGCTTGGGGGCTGCTCAGAAAGCTCGAAGGAAACTTCCTTGGGTTAAGATATATGAAGAACAATGCCTGTATGATTCTGACGGAACTCATAATATTCAAGGAGTAAAATCCTCAGAAATGAAGAAGAAACATGCAAATACTGAAACATCTAAGGACTCTGATGAGTTCATGCATCTGGTGCAAAGGGCTTTCTTAAAGTTCTCCAAACTTTTGAACGAGAATTCGGCTAACAGAAGGAAATACCAGGAGAAGGGAGGAAATGCTAATTTGAAGTGCTGCGTATGTGGCAGGTCTGTTTTTACGCATCTTTTAAGTTCCTGATATTGGTGAAATTCTTTTGCTTCTGGTTGGTTAAAATTTTTGCTTTCGATTGCATCCAACTAAGTATTCATAGTGTTATTTTGAAATTTTATACTGCTTAGGAATCAAGTTTTGTGAAAGTTGGATTTTTAGTCTTCGCCATCTCGATTTCATAACACTTGATTCCTGATTATTGTAGATTTTAGTAGTATTTGAGGTTGGTGAGTAAGTATTGTAGGTAACATGCAATTTAAGGATTGTTGAATCTATCAGCAGAGTGTGCAGGGGAAGATTCAGATTGTTTTGTATTTCTACCACGATTCTTGAAATTAACAAGGGCAGAACAGTAAAGGTTGGAGAAAGGGAAACGAGAAGCCTTTTCTTCTAGTGATTTTCAAAATGGTGAAAAAGTTTAGTTGGAATTAATGATACTTGATTTTAGAATGGTAAAATTACAGTTTGAGAAACATGGTTTGCATTCTGTTGTGCACGGATTGGAAGATACAGAAAGTTAAGGAATCTGTAATCTAAGTTCTCTTTACACATGGTACCTTTTATGTAGCTTTCAATTGGTGAAGGATAACCTTAACCAGCAGCTTCTTTCCTTCCATCTGGGTTCCATACTGGTTAGCTGGAGAAAGCTATACTTGTGAAGGAGTGTTAGGGGATATTCACTAGCGTGTATCTCTTTTTTCACATGATGACAAATATAGTTTGGTGTGAGTTTCTCTTTCTCTCTCTATAAAGCTCCTTCATCCTTTTTTATCTATAGAACCAGTGGTTGAGGAAAAGTATTTATGTGCACAAGTTACTTGGTAGTTGTGGGAAAAATCTATCCACTGCCAGACTGTCTTTTAGTTCTGTTTTGTGAAGGATTTGTGCTAGTTGCCTATTTGAACTGCTCTTGTGGGCCAGAAACTTCTGTATCTAGCTAGGCTTCCTTCTGGCTTAATGCAGGATTAGAAATATACCTTGGTTTCTGAGGTCCTTGCTAATTGTTGATGTTTCATACTTCATAGAGATCAAGTGGTGCTTCTATAGTGGGTCCTATATGCTGTTCTTTTTTATTTCAATTTACCCTCTTAACTGACTTTTACTCGTTCACATCTTATCTTAGCAACTCCAAAGACTTTGTGGACACATTGAGCTTGGCACAACATGCGGTCATGTCTTCTAAGGGCAGTTTCAGAGCAGAGCATTTGGGTCTTCACAAAGCGCTTTGTGTTTTGATGGGATGGAATAGTGCTGGATTCCCTAACAGTCAATGGGTTTGGCAGATATTGCCTGAGGTCGAAGCCTCATCACTGAAAGAGGATCTCATCATATGGCCGCCAGTTGTTGTTATACACAACATATCCATAGCAAATGATAATCCAGATGAACGGATTATTGTAAGTGTTGAAGGGCTCAGACATATTCTCAGAGGTAAGTGGACTTTTTTAACTGATGATAGTTCCCACATTTTCTGAATGTTTCTCAGTGTTCCTTGTTCTGGAGGATGGAACATGTTTTCCGAGCTGCAATCTAATTGAAAACCTTTTCTTCTCCTTCTTCTGCTCAATTGTGCTGATATTTCTTATGATCTTTCCTTAATTATTTGTTAATTTCCCATATACCATCCTCCTTCCTACGTTTCCATTTTCCCCCACCATTGTTTAATATGATAAAATGATTTCTTCTTGAAAAATAATAAATGTTTAGCAGCACTTTTTTGTTTTTTCTTGAGATTCCTTCGGACATTTTTTGTTACTGCTACTTGAACCTCCAAATGATTTTCTAGGTACCAATTTTACCTTTTGTCCTGATTCTTTCATTAACTCTTTATCAAGAATCTGAAGGAGAATGTGTAGAGTTTATTTGCAGAACCAGTGCATTTGTCATTAGGCAGGTTTCACATGGATGTCTAGCTTCGGAATTGACTTCAAACACTTTTAACCTTAACAACAAGCTTGCTTTTTTGGCTGATCCCAAGAAATTGCAATGATGCTTGTTGTTTATGTTACCTGGCATCTTTCTTCCTTTTATGCGATGCATTGCTTTCTGTCCTCTTTTTTTCTTGTTTTCACTTCCTTATCATCATTGCAGGTATGGGTTTTGGTCAAGGGATAACCAACATCTGCCGTGGCAAAGCTGCAAATCAGAGTACCATGGTGGTCATCTTCGGTCAGACCTTTTCTGGGCTGCAAGGAGCCGAGAGGCTTCACAAGCTTTATGCTGAGAGCAAACGTGGAAGGACCGAGTTCCAGCAAATTGGTCTACACGGGAGTCTGCAAACTCAAGGGGTGTCATCAAACACAAAAGAAAACGTTCTATATGGCTATCAGGGAATTTCAATTGATCTGGATAAACTTGATTTTGAGACCAAAAAACGATGTGTTGTGAAGAGCAAGAAGGAGATAAAGGCTGTTGCAGATTTTGCTCTGAACACTGAATGAGGAAATTTGATCTGTATAAAATAGGTCACAATTAGAGAACAGGTTTTTTTCCTTCTGATTTCTGTTCGGTACAAACTACAGATACAATTGCTTGGCTTTCGTTCTTTTCTTGGCAAAGAACTGGATGTATAGTTCTTGACTGGATGCCCAGCTCGATTGTAGACAAGGTTAATGGTTTGTCTAATCACTTTAGTGCTCGTTAATATTTTTTTCATTTATTTTTTTCATTTTGGGTTATGAATGGAAGGACCAGACTTGATTATAATATGAACTTAATTCCCATGTTTAGTGCAACCCTTTTTCTGCTGATAACAAGGCAAAGATCGCACTTTGTAACTTAAAACATCTTTCGTTCACTATTCTGAACTAAGGAAATGTACGAGTGAGTTGGAAAAAAAATAGAAAGGGGAGAGATTAAAAACAACTACGTGTGTTAGGGTAATATGGAGGCTGAGAGGGACCCATCTTTAGCTTTCCTCTCTGACTGGTCATGAAATCTGGAACTCCAGTGTTCTATGAATGAACTAATGATATTGCTGACTGAACGTCCTAGTGCACAACGATATTCATCTCCTTTGGAAGTTAAGGAACTTGATGCCGTATGCGAAGACGAAAAAGAAGAGGAGAACCCAACCCACATGAGCTAGGACTACAGGTAGAAGGAATTCGTGATCATAACCCAAGTACTTCTCAACGAATGCCTTTAATGGCACCGGTTCTGATCCAGGAATTTCAAGAAGAGTGTTTTTATCAACAACTTGTGAGGTGAAAATACCGTAAATGGTCCAGGCAACTGGAGAAGCCCAGTAATACCACCTCCACCACACAGGAATCAGCTGCAATGATTGGGTAGAGGTGTTAACAAAGCAGTAATCAAGGAGCTGACTGAACTCTAATGCATCATGAAGTATTTCAGCAGATCATCTAAAGAAAATTAAAATTGGGAAAAATAGTATGCGGATTTTCATGAAAAAATTTATTTTTTTAGTAATATAGGAAAAGAAATTTTGAGTTTGAACTTGCTTACCGGCCTAGCGATGAGATAACCAGAGAACAAGTTCCAGAAACTTATGAAGAAGGACATAACCACGGCAGCGATCTCAGGGCCAGGAGTCAGGGAAATAATCATCATCCCATACATTGAAAAGTAGGTGAAGCTCGTGAAAATGAAGTAGTAGAAGCACAAAAACTTGGCCACATTCCATTCAAACCCAATCATTGAGTACAAAAGAAGAGAATATAGAAAAGTTTGGATTGAAACATAAATTATCTCTATAGCCACCTGCAGCAGAAAGGTGTAAGCATCAATTACAAATATGGGGAAACCCTTCAATTATTTTTGTCACGGCGAAATGAAAATGTGATGCACAAATAAATGATTACGTTCTCTTACATGAGCAAAAGCATAAGGCAACTCTGAATACATCCCTGCGGCTCTTTCACGGTAGAAAACTGTTCTCTCAGTTGCTATGACAGATTGCACAGCAGAAGCATTAGTGGCTCCAAGGAAAAGAACAGCAGCATATGTAGCTCCCAGAAGATTAATAAGATCATTTCTTTTGTATCTGCCATCAAAAGGAAGAGCAATAAAACTTCTCAAGTGCCCTAGTCCAGGTAAAAGTGGCATTATGACTTGGAAAATGTAACTCAAGATAAATAACCAGGCATACATTCGATCTCCTCTGCTCCAAAAGACAAGACCAAACAGGATACCAATGATGATTGCTACAACGAACCGGGTATAATTGAATTCTGAGTTTCGCCAGTATGACTTGTGTTGTTTCCAGAAACAAGCCGCGCATTGAGTTATAAAGCTTTGGGAGTATTGAGAAGGGAAAGAAAGATCCTTGGAACCAGGTCGTGGAGTACTAAGTTTTTTTATGAGCTCCTGATTTTTCCTGAGAAGTGTGAACAAGATTGTGAGAACGACCAACAGCCACTCTTATAAATAGGCAGATTGAGGTAGAAATTGATAATTTGATATGACTAACCGGTAAAGTTCAGAGTTGGCATAAACTTCTGCAAAATCAACTTGAAGTTGAGTTTCTATTGCCTCAGAGCTGATCTCCAACATCCATGTAGCAGGATTAGAGCCTTGTTCGATCCTGGGAACCCCTGGAACAACCTGCTTGAGATTTTAGAATTAGCTAATGTGGACACTTGCAATTATAGGGCAGCAGAATATCGGAAAATTAAGCGAAGATTTTGTTGGGAGAGTTTTTCTTATATTTCAAAGGGAAAACTTGAGATAATGGCTGATCGAAATAGAGACAAACTATATGTAACTCCAACTTGGTGGTGAAAAAAAATTATGGAAAGCAAGGCATATAATGAAAGGAAGACTCGCCTCAAAATATTGCACAAGCTCGTGAGAATTGCGACCAAGAGGTCCAGCATAGATCACTTGTCCTCCTCTTTTCATCAACAAAAGCTAAGAGAAGAAACAAGATCATCATGAAAAAAGTACCATCGTAGATGAAATATAGTATCAATAAAAAAATAAAATTGAACAACATATACTTCATCGAAAGTTTCAAAGATGTCAATGCTTGGTTGGTGAATGGTGCAGACAACAGTTCGTCCTGTATCCACCATATGCCTTATAGCACGCATAACAATGGCAGCAGCTCTAGCATCAAGGCCTGATGTGGGCTCATCCATAAAAATGATGGAGGGATTAGCAACCAACTCTACAGCTATTGTGAGTCTCTTTCTCTGCTCAGTTGAAAGACCATCAATTCGTGGAAGTCCTACGAGGGCATTCATCAATGACTTAAGCTCAACCAATTCCATAACTTCATCAATGAACATCTGCACGAGAGGGGGGAATTGGAAATAAAGGATGAATTGTTAGAAAATTAAATATTCGTGTAATGCAAGAAAAAACAGTTCAAACTGCATAAAAGAAGTAACCATGGTGAATAAGTGATATGCCTTTCGTGTTTCCTTCTTGACATCCGCAGCAAGACGCATCGAGGCAGAATAGAGGAGAGATTCATAGACAGTAACATATGGTGAATGCAAGTCGATCTGTTCACAATAACCACTGACCCGAGCAAATGTGACTTGGTTCTTTGGGTATCCAGAAATGCTTATACTTCCTTCAATGCACCCCATAATCTTCCTTCCTGCCAGTACATCCATCAAGGTGGTCTTACCAGCACCGCTGACACCAACTAATGCTGTCAGAGTACCTGGCCTAAAAGCTCCACTCACATTTTTAAGCAGCTGCAATCGGTTTTTCTCAGTCCCTTGTTTCCTCATTTCCTAGTAAATCCATGAATAAATATATCAATATGAAGCTTCTTGTTAATTTAAATGAATCTTGAAATATGAATTAGTGTACATGAGTTACCACAGGCATATCGACATGATAATTCACATTGTTGAAGGCAAGTGAAAGTGGCTGAAAAGGCAGAACCGTTCCTTTTTTATATTGCTTGTTTGGATTCTTGGAATGTTTGTATTTCCTCTGGGAGATTTTCACTGTCAGGTCAACAATAATGCTTATGATTAGTAGTTGTTGAATTTAGGTTGAGAAGTATCAAATGACGGCAAAGCCAATAGCACATTTAACCATCATCCGATTTCGGATGAGGAAGAACTTCCTTCAATGAGTTGAGAGTGGTTAATGTTATGATTGTTCTTCTGATTGTTCAGCAATGTCTAGGAATTCTTCATGGGATTAGGGCATAGTTAACAGAGTGATTATCAAGATAATGTGAAGTTAAAGACCATACGTCTTAAAACACCAACCTTCAGAACTAGGTGCCAGCTTCCGCGTACTAACATTTTCAGTGTCATCATCCGCAATTACAGCTTTCGAATCGGCAGGAGCTGATAATGAGTTGGAAAAAACTGAATGCTCAATACTTGAATGTCATTCAATAATCTTAACAAAGATGATAGGTTCAAAACACTGACCTACCATTCAAAAATTCGAGTGCTGCAATGAAGAGAAAATTGAAAATAAGAGAGAACCCAAGAAGCACCCCAATGCAAATCCAATACCAGTATTCATCCGTAAAGAATCCCCTTTCCTTAAGAAGGGACTTTCCAACAGTAGACTCATGTGGGCTGCCAGTGAGCTGTGACATACAGGCTTGTGTTAGTAAGCCTCGATAGCTCAGAAAATATTTTAATATAATAAATATAAGTATTCACGAGAGAGTTTTCATATGCTTTGAAGAACTCACATTGCCCCATCTGTTGTCGAGAAATTCATTGATAGAAATGGCATTTTGGCCGTACATTATAGGAGACAGATAGTAGCCCCATCTCATCCACAACTCTATATCATCTGCACAACGAAAAGGAAAACGATCCAAATTATTGTGCATCAAAAGTTCCAGTTACTGAGATTCCATAAAATTCAGGTATTAGATTGATACATGCTTCAGAATAATCCAACAATATTAGAACACTAAACAGTGAACAAAATAGAATAATCATTGCCTTTGGTGATGATGAAACCTCCAAGAACAATAACAGTCACCATAGTTAAGAAACCAAGTATGTTCGCGACAAGCAATTTTCTTCCAACCACAGCTATGAAACGGTATAGAGATAGAGTCATCTGATATGTACTGAAGAAAGCCAGGAGCTGTTTGAAGAACCTGAACACAACAGTCATGTATTAAAAGAAGAACCTTTGCCTACATGATCGCGCTTTCATAGAGATCATTAAGAAAAAGGTCTGCACTTGCCTGCTGGCAGCTGGAGCAAAGCCAATGGAGTAATATGTAAGAGTGACCCATATTCCTGATTCAATCAGTGAGACAGGAATGCTGAAGAGACAAATAGGTAAACCAAAAGCCCATGCAGGATATAGCATTGAACTCCTCTGCTTAAAGAACACGGGAAGTCTGAAAACTGTCATTGTAAGTTCTATCATCGCATTGATTATGAAATTTGTGAGACCGAAGAATAGTGCTCCCCAAAAGTTTGCTGCACCGTTCTTTTGTCCAGCTTTCCCTCCGGTTTTTGAGAAAGCAGTAAATGCGATTATGGCAATGATTGTTATTTGGATAATTTTGAAGATGGAAACTATAGAGTTGCGCTTCATCAGAAGCCATTCCCTTGAAAAGCACGCCTTAAAGAGTTCCCAGTTGGAGAGGCCATACTTTTCACTCACTAAAGCATCAGGATGAACTCTAAATTTGTTGAAAGGAACTTTTAGACGTTCTGAAAGCTGTAGGCCAATGTAAA